AGGGAAGGGAAGGGAAGGGAAGGGATGAAGGAAGGAAGGAAGGAAGGAAGGAAGGAAGGAAGGAAGGAAGGAAGGAAGGAAGGAAGGAAGGAAGGAAGGAAGGAAGGAAGGAAGACCACTGATGGTGTTACCTAGTTGGCTGATGAAACGTCTGCAAGAAAACCACCAAAGTTAGAGATCACAAGGATGGATGGATGGATAGGGAAAGGAAAGGAAAGGAAAGGAAGGAAGAGAAGGAAGGAAGGAAATGTATGAGGAGAAAGGGTGGGTGGGAAGAAGGAAGGAAGGTGAGAAGAAAAGATGAGAAGGAAGGAAGAAAGGAAGGGAGGAAATGTATGAGAAGTTGGGAGGGAGGGAGGGAGGGAGGAAGGAAGGAAAGGAAGGAAGGAAGGAAGGAAGGAAGGAAGGAAGGAAGGAAGGAAGGAAGGAAGACCACTGATGACGTTACCTAGTTGGCTAATGAAACGTCTGCAAGAAAACCACTAAGCTTAGAGATCACAAGGATGGATAGATGGATAGGGAAAGGAAAGGAAGGGAAGGGAAGGAAGGAAGGAAGGAAATGTATGAGGAGAAAGGGTGGGTGGGAAGAAGGAAGGAAGGTGAGAAGAAAGAAGATGAGAAGGAAGGAAGAAAGGAAGGGAGGAAATGTATGAGAAGGTGGGAGGGAGGGAGGGAGGGAGGGAGGAAGGAAGGAAGGAAGGAAGACCACTGATGACGTTACCTAGTTGGCTAATGAAACGTCTGCAAGAAAACCACTAAGCTTAGAGATCACAAGGATGGATGGATGGATAGGGAAGGGAAGGGAATGGAATGGAAGGAAGGAAGGAAAGGAAGGAAATGTATGAGAAGGTGGGAGGGAGGGAGGAAGGAAAGAAGGAAAGGAAGGAAGGAAGGAAGGAAGGAAGGAAGGAAGGAAGGAAGGAAGGAAGACCACTGATGATGTTGCCTAATTGGCTAATGAAACATCTGCGAGCAAACACCTAAGGTCAGAGAGCACCAAGGATAAAGAAGGGAGGGAGAGAGGGAGGGAGAAAGGAAGGAAGGAAACAATCCAGCTTAGAGAGCAACTCCATAGCTGAATCCTGAGCTACAAATACTCTCTACAAATATTGGAAGAATCCACGTCTTTGACTCTTTTTTACATCAGGCTGGGAAGCCTCCCCCAACTGGGCTCCCTCTCGGGTGCCGAGGCCAGGAGGGCGATCCAATATATCTTGAGGAAGGCCAAGTTGGAGAAAGCGGTCGTCAGAAAGTCACCTTAAGTGGGTCTACTGGGCGGAATTCCTGCCTTAGTTTCCTTCTCTGGGGAGAGAGACAGGACTCAGTGGACTACAGATGGTCCTCAACTTACGACCGTAACCGAGCCCAACATTTTCGTTGCTAAGCAAGACAGTTGTTTTATGACCTCATTTTACGACCTTTCTCGTCACTGTTGTTAAGTGAATCACTGCAGTTGTTAAGTCAGTCGCACGGTTGTTAAGTGAATCTGGCTGTCCCCCACTGACTTAGCTCAGGTGTTTTCAACCTTTTCACCCATTGTGCCACTTTTAGGATATGGCAACATCTGAATACCACCAGTCACCTAGCAAGGTGTCAAAAACTGGATGACCCCCCCCCAAAATGAAAAAAGCGATAAAGTACAGGTAGTCCTTGACTTAAAACAGTTCGCTTAGTGACTGAAGTTACAATGACACTGAAAAAAGTGCCCCCCAAGGCACAGCCGAGCAAGACACCTGCCTGCCCGCCCAGCCGCGCTCTTCCTCCTGTCCGAGGTTTTCATTGTTGTGAGCATTTCTGTTGAGGATTGGCAGCGGGGGTGGGGTGGGGGGTGTTTGGTTTTTATTCCCCCCCCCGTCTGCTGGGTGGTTGCAGCAGGTTTTGGTCACTTCACATGACCCTGGGACACTGTGACCGTCATAAATATGAATCAGTTGCCAAGCATCTGAATGTAAATCACAAGACCCTGGAGAGGCTGCAACATNGCGTCTTCTGGGCTCAGCAGAAGCACCAGGATGAGTGCTGAGCTCCAGCTGGACCCTGGCACCGATCCTGGGGCTTCCGCTGAGCCCTGACAGCCCTGCAGCTCCAGCCGTCTCTCGCTCAGGCTTGTGCGATGCTGCCAACGGTTCAGCTCATTCCCCTCCCCCGCTACCACTTTTCTAGGATGGTCGCGTACCACCTGCCAGGTGCCCATGTACCACAGGTGGTACCCCTACCACTGGTTGAAAAGCCCTGTTCTAGCCCATCCCCCTGCTCAACTCTATACTATTCCAGACAAGTGGCGGCTCAGTCTTGTCTTAAAAACCTCCAGTGAACTATTGTTGACAGGATACTTCTTTTTTTTTTTCCTGCTAGAGAATCCATGGCGATGCGACTGCGCTCTGCACTGGCTCAGCAGCTGGATCCGAGAGGAAGGCCAGAGGCTCCTGAGCCCCCTGGACAAGAAGATCGAGTGTTCGGAGCCCCCGCGCCTGGCCTACCAAAGCCTAGCGGATGTTTCCGGCAACAGCTTGATCTGCATCCCTCCGGTCGTACAAGTGCAACCGCTTGAAGTCATGGCCCGGCTGGGTGAAGACCTGCGCATCTCCTGTCAGGCCTCGGGCTACCCACAGCCACTTGTGACCTGGCGTAAACTGGCCCACTGGCGGGCCGGGGGCTCCAGGGGAAGCCGGACCCGGCTGCCCAGTGGAAGCTTTGAGCTGAGAGAGCGCAGCGTCGCGGAGCGCTTTGAGCAGTCAGACACCGGCAGCGGGATGCTGTTCCTGAACAACGTGACGGTGTCCCATGCCGGGAAATACGAATGCGAGGCCTCCAATCCCGGGGGGATGGCCCGGGTGGTCTTCCACCTCATGGTTAACCTCTCGCAGCATCAGCAGCAATCGCAGGGCTACCCGGCATCGGTAGACATCAGCCAGGAGCCCCTCTACGACATGGAGAGCATGGACTTCCACGCCCTGGGCATGGCCACGCAGACGGCCATCGCCGTGGCCATCTCCCTGCTGGCCCTGGTGGCCCTTCTGTTGGTGATCATGATCTACCGGAAACACCGCAAGCGGAAAAAGGCGAAGAAGGAGGAGAACATTTTGTACGTCAACGACTACTCCGACGGGCCCACCACTTTCGCGCAGCTGGAGGAGTACCGAGACGAGAGGGGCCACGAAATGTTTGTGATTGACCGCAACAAGCCCCTGTTTGCCACCTATAAGGACCCCCAAGGCCTAGCAGGGGTCTTCCCGGAGCAGCTGCAAGACCAAGCGACTCAGACTCTGGAAGGAGAAGAAGAGGGTCCCCAAGAAGACAGCGAGCTCTTCGCCAACCAGGGAGTGATGCTCCAGCCTCAGATAGCATACGAAATCCACTGCTGAGTGGAGCTATGGAAGTTGGGGTGAATGGACACCCCTCCCCCACCAATGGAGCTGTTTTCTTGACCTCCTCCTACCATTGTCTGCTTAGGTTCGGGGCCTTGAGTGGAGGAACCTGTTGTGGTGGACCATCCCACAGGTTGCAGAGAGGACTCGTGTATGTTCAACGAGAGCCATCACCCTGTGGTTACTCCTGGGGCACGTTCGGCTCTCACCATGTTGATCATCCCCATCCCATTGTCCAATGTTCTCTGAAAGGGCTGTGGAGCAATTCACGAGGGTCCCTCAAGTTCACCTTCAAATCTGAAAGCATAGCACACCAGAATAGCTTTGCTACAAAGTTCACCTTAGGCCAGCATTTTGCTTCTCACTGTGATTGATCAGATTCCTCCAGGACACTCACAAGCAAGAGAGGGATCCACACCACCTCCTCCTCTTCCTCCCTCCGAGACGTTGTTCCTCAGCACACAAGACTTGGAGGCACCTTACCCACCAAGCTGGACATCTTCAAATGATAGACCTGTCAAAAGCGTGATAGGACGGCTGATGGACAGCAATGGGTTTTGACCCCTGAACTTTTCCCAGCCATCAGCTGTGACCCTCCCCGGGCATTCTGCAACTGGACGTAAGGACCTTGCGCACAAAGTTTTTGGTCACAGTCAGCAGAGAAAGTGCGGCTCGGGAAAAAAAACTCACCGAAGGCTGGATAAGAGGTTCACTGTGCGAATTTGACCCAAACTGTGCAAATTTGACCAAAACCTCAGTGATGATGGGACGACATTTACAGTCCCTCGCGCAGGCTGAGTGGGACACTCAGGTTTTTTTGAGGGGGCTTGCCTTTCATTTTGCTTTAAAAGGATAAAAATAATGTCACAGTCCTGAGCTGCACAGCAACATTTGTAGAATGCACGGAAAAAGAACCCTCCTTATCTCCACCTTACAGGCGGTCGGTCGATCCTTGGCTTATGACCACAGTTGAGCCCAAAATTTCTGTGGCTAAGCAGTTCAGTTCTTAAGTGGTTTTTGCCCCCATTTTGTAACTTGCTTGCCACCGTTGTTAAGCGACTCACTGGTTTCTCCATTGACTTTAGCTTGTCAGAAGGTCACAAAATGTGATCACTTGAGCCTGGGACGCTGCGACCGTCATAAATGTGACTCAGTTGCCAAGTGTCAGAATGTTGATCACGTAACCGCGGGGTCACTGTGACCGTCATAAATGTGACTCAGTTGCCAAGTATCAGAATGTTGATCACGTAACCGCGGGGACGCTGCGACCGTCATAAATGTGACTCAGTTGCCAAGTGTCAGAATGTTGATCACGTAACCGCGGGGACGCTGCGACCGACATAAATGTGACTCGGTTGCCAAGTGTCAAAATGTTGATCACGTAACGGCGGGGACACTGCGACCGTCATAAATGTGACTCAGTTGCCAAGTGTCAGAATGTTGATCACGTAACCATGAAATCAGCTGTGCCCCCAAAGCACAGGTGCCAGCATAGCCGTGTAGTTGCGCCAGGAACAAAATGGCTGCGTGCGAGATTTTTTTCCCAAGCAAAGAAGCCAATAAAATATAGCCAGCATCTCCTGGCTGCCGAGGCTGTGTTGTTTTCTTTTAGGGAATTGGGGGCAGGGGATAATGGGGAAGAGAATCTTGGTTTTGTTGAAGGATTCCTTCTGGCTGAAACGGTTTCTTGCTGTCGGGCTGCACGTGGCTGGGAAGGTGCCTACTTATGTGGTGGCATCTCTCTAACCAACGTCGTTTATTCATTTTCTTCAATTTATATGTCACTCGTCTCACTGTCAAATGACTCTGGCCGGCTTACAAATACCCTAAAAACAGGTACAAACGTTGGAGCATGAAATATTAAATAATTAAACAAATTACCAGCCCAAATGATTTTCCTGCTCAGCATGTTTGTTTTTTTGGGTAATCGTATTGTTGTATTTCTCATTTATTCTCTTTCATTATTTATTTTATTAATAGTAATAATAATAATAAAGTTGGAAGGGGCCTTGGAGGTCATCTAGTCCAACCCCCTGCTCAGGCAGGAAACCCTAGACCATTTCAGACAAATGGCTGTCCAGTCTCTTCTTAAAAACTTCCAGTGTTGGAGCATTCACCGCTTCTGGAGGCAAGTGGTTCCACTGGTTAATTGTTCTCACTGTCAGGAAGTTTCTCCTTAGTTCTAAGTTGCTTCTCTCTTTGGTTAGTTTCCATCCGTTGCTTCTTGTCCTGCCTTCAGGCTCTTTGGAGAATAGCTTGACTGCCTCTTCTTTGGGGCAGCCCCTGAGATACTGGAACACTGCTATCATGTCCCCCCTCGTCCTTCTCTTTGTTAAACTAGACATACCCAATTCCAGCAACTGTTCCTTATGTGTTTTAGCCTCCAGTCCCCTAATCATCTTTGTTGCTCTTTTCTGCATTCTTTCTAGAGTCTCAGCATCTTTTTTACATCGTGGTACCCCCTATACTATACCTGCGCATTTGGTTTTTCTTGTCTAAATGTAGAACCTTACTTTTTTCACCATTGAATTTCATTTTGTTCTATTACCTTTTGTTCTTTTCTATTGCTAAACAAGACCGTTAAGTGAGTTTTGCCCCATTTTACAACCTTTCTTGCCACAGTTGTTAAGGGAGTAACAGGATTCCCCATGGACTTTGCTTGTCAGAAGGCTGTAAAAAGGGGTGACCCGAGGACACTGCAGCCTGTCATAAGTACACGTTGGTTGCCAAGCACCCAAATTTTGAACACTGTGACCACAAGGATGCTACAACGGCTGTGGGTGTGAAAAACAGCCCTAAGTCAGTTATGGGAACCTTTTAGAGACCGAGTGCCCAAACTGCAACCCAAAACCCACTTATGCATCGTTGGGTGCCCGGTGGGTGTGGCCCGTTGGGTGGGCGTGGCTGCAGTGGTAACGGCAGACTGGGTGGGACTAAAAAGTTCAATCAATCAATTTCAACTTTGCGAGATCTTTTTTTTCCCGCGAGAAGTTGAAATTGACTGATTGATTGAACCTTATTTTTTTGTACACGGCGGCAGAGGCCTAAAGCGAAAAGGTTTTATAAAACTCAGCTGAAGGCCTAGGACTGGGGCGACGGCGCGCGTGCCCACAGAGAGGGCTCCGAGTGCCGCCTCTGGCACCCGTGCCATAGGTTCGCCACCACTGCCCTAAGTCATTGTTTTAGTGCTATTTTAACTTCAAGTGGTCACTAAACAAAGTGAAGGAGTCCCTAGAAGCAAAACTGAGAAGCATTCATAATTAGGCTCAATTTATTAGAATGCAAGCTTCCTTGTTAGAGGAGGTAGGGAGAGGAGGCTGAAATTGGTGTTCTCCTTTGAGCTGCCTCTTCTTCCCCCTCCCAGTTCCAAGAGGACCAGTCCCCTGAAAACGTTTTAATCCGTATCCCCTTCACTGAGGATTCCCACCTCCATCAGGTAAGCTCTGGTTCGGTAACCCCGATAGGCGGACTGGATCTTGATTGCCGCTTCTTCCTGCAGACGCAACATTTGCCTGACCCTCCAGCCCCGCCAGAAGGCCTGGATCAGGGTGGCTGCGCGGACCACTTGCCACATCTGCTTCCTGGTCTTGAACACGCGCCTCTGGCCTTCGCCCATCCGGCGGGCAGCGTAGTTTTCGTACAACCAGTCGGAGGTGCCCTGGGAAGGCACGCCTTGCTGTTGCAGCTGCTGCTGTTGGACACTGGTGGAGGAGAGACTCCGGGTGCTGGTGCGCTCCCGTGTCAGCCGTATGGAGGTTTGTGTGCTGGGGGCCACACGCTGGCTGACAACTACGCTGGGTTCCCGACTCTGCCTGCGTGGCTGCTCGTCGGCAGCCGTAGGGTAGCTTTTTGAAGGCCCCTGATAGGAGAAGCGTGGCCCGTAACGGCGTGGCTGGCTGTACGCTGGTCCCTCCTGCCTGGAGGTGTAGGACGTCCTTCGGGCATTCCTGGACGGAGAGGTACTTGCATGTCCTTCGCATTCACTGTCCTCCACTTCCGATTCTGATGGCGGCCCTTTGCCCACACCCACAAGCACACGGATGCTGGTGCACCTCCCGCAGCGCGGACAGGTCTTGGGTTGGGAGGGCTTGGGTTCCTCTTGCTGAACTAGGAAGGACGGGGATCGTGGTACCTTGCTTTTCCACTCCTCAGGGTCTCCCACAAGGCACTTGCGCCAGTGTTTCCTGGGGTACGGGCCCACCCAGGAGGAACTTCCAGGCATGTAGCTGGGATGACCGTAGTAGGTCCCTGTTGGAAACCTTGGGGGACTGTAGTAGGTCCTCTGTGGGCGTCCAGGGTGGTAAGTATGGCTTCCTGCTTGGACCATGTCCCGTCGAGTACGGTATCCCCGCCAGTGAGCTTGGATGGTGGTGGCTGCCTGCTGGCATTCGGCAAGGGCCTGGCGAGTCATGTAGCCCCGATAGTGCGCCTGAATGACCTGGGCAGCTCTCTCCCTGTCCATCCTGGGGTACCCCCAGGATTCGCTCTCCCTCTCAAAGGAGGAAATGGAGGATGTTCTTCGGCGCCTGTAGACTTGTGCCGAAGGCTCCTGCTGCCGCTGCAAAGCATGGTACTCGCGAGCGATGTATCGCTTCCAAGCAGCCTGGATAGTGGTGGCCGCAGCCTGCTCCGTCATGAGCTGCTTACGGGTGAGGTGGCCCCGCCACGTGGCCTGGATTGTGGTGGCCGCCTTGTCCATGAGCATGTCAAGCTCATCCACCAGGAAGGAGGATCGGTGGCGGGATCGGCTGTTACTCCGAGCTCTGATCTTGGCCAACTGCCGGTCATGGTGGTGCATATCTTCATCGGTCATCTCCTCTTCCCCACTTGGATAGCTGTAGGAGCACCAGGGGTGATCCTCGTAAGTCTCCATCTGGGGAGGGGGGAGGTGAAACAACAGGCATCAGCAACGAGGTACCGATGTCTACGGGTCAGATGATAAGATAAGATAACCTTTATTGTCATTTTTATACTGTGGGCACAACAGCACACATCAA